GATGACTGAAATTCCTTTACATGTTTTAATTGAAATGGTGCTGATGATTATTCGAAAATGAAGAGATAGCGGCAACTTAATACTCAAAACGTGCACCCACCATTTTTCAATTATCCGCAATTTAACTGACTTCCCATTTTGGTAAATGTGAGCATCCGTAACCTTTATGCAAACTTTATATAGATTATTTGGGTGTTTTTAAACAATTTAAACATTTTACAGCTATCGTTCTTTTCTGTCATTTTTTCTTTGTATTTATAAACTTACTTAACCTGTGACGTGTCTGTACAAATACAAAAGAACGCGTCGAATTACATTCGCTCTTTTTACCATTCAGTTACGAGTTTACGTCATTCTTTTGCTTATCATATTCAATACAGTCACTCATTCTATCGATCGCCAAATTACACAAAAAAGTAAGTGTTGCAAAATCAAAAAACAAAAAAGGTTTAAAAAAAATTGACTAAAAAATCGCCTTTTATTGTTGTTTTTAGGACTTCTCCATTTGTGTTGAGATTGTTAACGCTTGGAAATGGAATTTAGTGCTTTAGTTTTATGAATTGACATCATGTATTACGAGTTTACATAATACATTATGTAAAATTTTACTATTGTTTCTACTTCTAAAATTTTTTGCGAATTTGTTTCAAAACTTGAGAGCTGTTTCCGTAAAACAGACGTTGAGTATTCTAAGTGAAATTTATTGTTCGAAGAAAACGGAGTATTTATGCTTGGTGTAGTTTTTCTCTGTCAATTTCAGCCGATCGAAATATTATTTTTTAACAAAAAATTTTTATACCCCATTAAAGATATGCACTATCTGAAATCAATTTAAAAAAAATTACCTCCGATCATTTTTTAAAAAAATGTCAATTTGCCCATGTTCTGGACTAATTTATGCGGGTTTTGAGTATTTCATTCATAATACTGAATGCGTAACACAAATTCTTTATGCTTGGCCAATTATCTCGCGCAAAAACATCGTTCCAAATTCCATTGAATCAAAAACTACAGCTAATAGGTCATACTAGTTTCGTTAGACAAAAATTTCCACGCTTGATCTTTAATATCGTCCAAAACTTTTTGTTTTTTAATATTTTATTTTCTCAAAAACTGTTCGATATTGATTAAGGGACAGTCGGAACCTTCATGGTTTTGCCCTGATATACGAGCAGTCTTGTTGTTCCGGAATATTTGTGCTCGGGGTGATTTTACTTTCTTCAGACAAATTTCGAATTTTAGCTAGTATTTTTGGCGATGTTTTTATATCATTAAAACGTATTGTTGTCTTGAGCTTTAATTTGAAAAGACATCTTACCTGGTATTAGTTTTCGTAAAGTTATCAGAGTTTAAAGATTGCCATTGTGACCAATTTGTGACAAATTAACGCGCGATATATTTTGCTCTATTAACGCGTAAGCGGAGATTGAATGCGTCTTAGACATCGTTCCCAATTAGTTAAAGAAACATTATTGTTCCGACTTTCGAAGAAAACGGAATATTTATGCTCGGTGTGGTTTTTTATTCAGTCAATTTTCGCGGATTGAAATAATAATTTTCGGCAAATTTTTTCTAAACCCCATTGAAGTTGTCCTGAGTTCAAATTTGAAAATACATTTTAACTCCGATTATTTTTTGGTAAGTTCAGAGCGTTTGAAAATTGCGAAATTGGCCATGTTCTCGACTAAATTATGCGTGCTTTGAAGAATTTTTTCATTTTGCTGAGAGCGGAACTGGAGTTATTTATGCATGGCGAATTGTCCCGCACAACAAATCGTTTCGAATTGAATCGAGGCTAGCTAACCGGATCGGTCGTATTATTTTCGTATGGCTCAACATTTCACACTCTGATGTTGTCCACAACTTATATTTTTGCAATATTTTCTTTTCCCAAAATCTGTTCGATATGAATTAATAGACAGTCGGAACATTCAGGGCTTTGCCCTGATATACGAGCAGTCTTGTTTGCCATAGTTGATATTACTACGAGCAAAATTTATCACTTTGTAAATTATATGGCGCATATAGGGGATGGTTTTCACAAAAAAAACCTCAAGTTCAAAAAAAAGTTCTTTTTATTCTTATTAAATTCAATTTTTTTCTTGTTATTACTGCGCTATATGCCTTGAAAGGCAGTCGGAACATTCAGGGCTTCGCCTTGATACGAGCAGTTTTGTTTTGATTAAGAAATGGTTATCTTGTTCTCTATATTTTCTATTCATGATTTTGCTTATTTACACATTTTTTCTAATTTCTTAGTTTTTGCGGCCTGTTTTAGCCTTTACAAAACCTTTACCATGAGTAAAGCAGAAAAAACTGCAAACTTTGCAAAAGTTGCGGATCACGAAAAACAACGATGAGTGTAGTCCTCGACGCTGTGTTAATTTTTTGAATATAAGTTTTGACTGCAGCTAGTGAACCTTATGCAGGTTTCATATCCATTTATCTATAATGCTTAACATGTGAGCGCAAATTAACTGGGGCGCGGCCAAAAGACAAGCCTTGGATCTCTTAATATCTGCTAATGCTGCCTAAATGGAAAAATCTAACAAGAAAAACTAATTTCGAAATTTGATTCACCTTTAGTACCAAAAAACTTGAGACGAGTGGAAGGCCGGCCAAACGTTCAAAGCGTATAGTTCAATGCGAGAAATATTGTTTGCTTTTACTCCAGTTTTTTTTAGACCTCAATTCCTGCGTTGTGGGTAGAAAACATGGTGCAAGACGACAAACTAGAGCTGAAGACAGAGTTTGAACAGGAGGAGGAAATTTACTGCTGCGAGGATTTCAGAAAAGCCGATCCTCCACTTTGCAAAGTGTGCGGTGATATTGCTTCCGGAAAACACTATGGCACTTTGTCGTGTGAGGGGTGCAAGGCTTTTTTTAAACGATCGATCAAGAGCAAACCAACTACCGAGTGCAAGCAATTGTCTAAGAGAGCCCAGAAACCTCCGGTACGAATTGTAAATGGCCAAACAAAATGCGTGATTGACAAGCATACGAGAAATGATTGCCAAAAGTGTAGATACGAGTTGTGTGTCGAAAATGGAATGAGTAAAAATAATCTCTCTAAGTACAAAAGCAATAAAGCCAAAAGAGTAAAAATCGATCATTCAGCACCATCTTCATCTTCGGCAGGATCCAGTGCGGAGGGCCAGCCAAGTGTCGAAGAATTCGACGAGTGTGCGAAAAACGAGGCTGATACTGATCTTTGTAGCGATGACTTGCAGTTAATTGGGGAACTGACTAGTATCGAAGCAGACAAGATCCCTCAAGACCTGCCGATGCCAGACGGAGAACTGCCTTCTTCAGTCAATCAAGAAAAAGCGGTTCTGTTTTTATCAGCTTATGAGGAATTGAAAGATGTGATTCAATGGGCCAGGAAAGTTCCAGACTTTGTGGAAATTCCGCCAGTTGATCAAAGCTCCATACTAAAAAATTGTTTCCTGGACATCGTCGTACTGCGATTGGCTTGGCGTTCGGCTGCCTGCGACAACAAAATCCGGTTTACAATCGGGAAGTTTTTATCAATTGATGAAGGTCGCGAAATTGGCATGGATATGGAACTTTTAGAGATGACACTATTCTACATACAACATGTCAAGGGAATAGGTTTGGATATGACTGAGTTTTCTCTCCTACAAGTTATACTTTTGACGTTTGCTCGGTGCGAAAACATTCAAGGCACCAGTCAAATAATTGCTACTAGGATCCAGAACCGAGTGATGAGAGTTCTGCGAGATTACGTCAAGAGTAAGTTTCCGAATCAACCCCTGAGGTATTGCAAAATCATTCAACTAATATCATCAATTCGAGGAATTAGCATCAAGGCAATGGACGCTTTCTTATCAGACGCTGTTAATGGTATTATATTGCTGAATGAACATGTTGTGTCCATGGTTACGTAAATTTTTTGAAATAACTTTATTGATTTCGACAAATTACTACTTGACTTCAAACGTTTTATAAATCTAAGTCTTGTGAACTCTCATAAATGAACGTTTTGGAAAATTTTTTATCATTGTCATTACTTAAGTACTTATGCATGATGTATTTAAAAAGCAATATTCGCTGTGCGAAGGCATGCTATTGATATTGTATGAGCGAACTGCTGAAATAAATTTCGCAAAAGTTTCGTAGAAACGCTTTTTAGTGACCTGGCCTGAAAAATAAGCTCAAGGTTCTTCAAATTAGCCAGAATGAAAATACATGCTTGTATATAAATGAATGGCGCTTACCTCCACCTTCATTGCGAGGCCAAACTATGTTTTTATTGTGAATTTTAAGCGGAGCTCTCAACAGGCGGAGAACAGATCTGTCGGAATTTGCAACATTTCATTTTTTTGTTCCGACTTTCGATACAAAAGTAACTGAATATTTGTGCAGGGGGTGGGTTTTTTTCTTCAGACAAGTTTCGACTTTTGAACTAGCCATTTTTGACGGAATTTTTAAATAGCACTCAAAAGGTATTGTTGTCCTGAGCTTTAATTTGAAAAGATATTTCACCTGTGATCATTTTTCGTAAACTTAGGGGGTTTAAAGATTGCCATTTTGGCCAATTTGGGACAATTAACGTGCGATATATTTCGCGCTATTAACGCGTAAGCGGAGATTTAATCCGTCTTAGAAATCGTTCCAAATTGGTTGAAAGAAGCTTATTTGCCATAATTGATTTATTACAAGGAGCGAAATCTATCCTTTTGTACCTTATATGGCGTGTGGGGGGATAAATTTCATTAAAAAATGCAAATTTTAGAAAAAAAAATTTCATTTTTTTTTATTACATTTAATTTTTTTAAATGTTATTACTGCTCCATAAAGCTTAAAAGGCAGTCGGAACATTCAGGGCTTCGTCCTGATACGAGCAGTCTTGTTTTATTTTAGTCGCTGTTTTGGATCCCACAATTAAATAGATAAAACCCTGTTAAGTTCAAAAACGCTCCAAAAACAGGCAATTTTGCGGAATCTGGAACAAATTTGTGGAACCCAATTACATTTGCGGAATCCAGAACAACTAGCAATTTTCACTCGTTGCGAATCCGCAACAACACAAATGTGCTGACAAATTTTACTTTAAAGATATTTGTGCGCGGAATTCACAAAATTTTTGTAAGTGGAATCGACTTACATTTTGGAACACATTTATTGACTATCCAGCGCGTATTTTGGCTTCGTAATTCTGAAATTGATAATTATTTCCCCTCATTCCTCTTTTAAATTTTGCCAAACAATTTTCAATAGAACAATGCTGCTCGTATCAGGGCGAAGCCCTGAAAGTTCCGACTGCCTTTTAAGGTCTATGGAGCATTAATAAGATGAAAAACTTCAATGTAATAAAAAATATATGAAAAAATTTTTGAAAAAATTTAGGATTTTTTAAAAAACATCCCCCACACGTCATATTAAGTACAAAGTGATAGATTTTACGCCTATTAACAAATCAATTATGGCATATAAGCTTCCTTGAACCAATTTGGAACGATTTCTAAGACGGATTAAATCTCGCTTACGCGTTAATAGCGCGAAATTTATCGCGCGTTAATTGTCCCAAATTGGCCAAAATGGCAATCTTTCAACCCCCATAACTTTACGAAAAATGATCACAGGTAAAATATTTTTTCAAATTCAAGCTCAGGACAACAATACCTTTCGAATGATATAAAAAAAATTCCGTCAAAAATGGCTAGTTAAAAGGTCGAAATTTGTCTGAAGAAAAAAAAACCCACCCCGAGCACAAATATTCCGTTATTTTCGTATCGAAAGTCGGAACAACAAGACTGCTCGGATCAGCGCAAAACCCTGAAAGTTCCGACTGCCTATTAACGTTTATGGAGCAGTAATAACATGTACAACATAAAAAATTACAAGAAATAAAATAAAATGAAAAACGTTTTTTCTAAAATTTGAAAATTGTTCTATAAAAATCATCCCTCCACACGCCATAAAAAGTACAAAACAATAGATTTCGCTCCTTGTAACAAATCAATTATGGCAAATAAAATTCTTTCAACCAATTTGGAACGCTTTCTAAGAAGGATTAACTCTCCGCTTACGCGTTAATAGCGCGAAATATATCGCGCGTTAATTGTCCCAAATTGGCCACAATGGCAATCTTTAAACCTCCATAACTTTACGAAAAATGATCACAGGTAAAATATTTTTTCAAATTCAAGCTCAAGACAACAATACCTTTCGAATGATAGAAAAAAATTCCGTCAAAATTGGCTAGTTAAAAGGTCGAAATTTGTCTGAAGAAAAAAAAACCCACCCCGAGCACAAATATTCCGTTACTTTCGTATCGAAAGTCGGAACAACAAGACTGCTCGGATCAGCGCAAAACCCTGAAAGTTCCGACTGCCTATTAACGTTTATGGAGCAGTAATAACATGTACAACATAAAAAATTAAAAGAAATAAAATAAAATGAAAAACGTTTTTTCTAAAATTTGAAAATTGTTCTATAAAAATCATCCCTCCACACGCCATAAAAAGTACAAAACAATAGATTTCGCTCCTTGTAACAAATTAATTATGGCAAATAAGTTTCTTTCAACCAATTTGGAACGCTTTCTAAGAAGGATTAACTCTCCGCTTACGCGTTAATAGCGCGAAATATATCGCGCGTTAATTGTCCCAAATTGGCCACAATGGCAATCTTTAAACCTCCATAACTTTACGAAAAATGATCACAGGTAAAATATTTTTTCAAATTCAAGCTCAGGACAACAATACCTTTCGAATGATAGAAAAAAATTCCGTCAAAATTGGCTAGTTAAAAGGTCGAAATTTGTCTGAAGAAAAAAAAACCCACCCCGAGCACAAATATTCCGTTACTTTCGTATCGAAAGTCGGAACAACAAGACTGCTCGGATCAGCGCAAAACCCTGAAAGTTCCGACTGCCTATTAACGTTTATGGAGCAGTAATAACATGTACAACATAAAAAATTAAAAGAAATAAAATGAAAAACGTTTTTTCTAAAATTTGAAAATTGTTCTATAAAAATCATCCCTCCACACGCCATAAAAAGTACAAAACAATAGATTTCGCTCCTTGTAACAAATCAATTATGGCAAATAAGCTTCTTTCAACCAATTTGGAACGATTTCTAAGACGGATTAAATCTCCGCTTACGCGTTAATAGCGCGAATTATATCGCGCGTTAATTGTCCCAAATTGGTAAAAATGGCCAAAATGGCAATCTTTAAACCCTCATAACTCTACGAAAAATGATCACAGGTGAAATATCTTATCAAATTTAAGCTCAAGACAACAATATCTTTCGAATGATATAAAAAAATTCCGTCAAAAATGACTAGTTAAAAAGTCGAAATTTGTCTGAAGAAAAAAAAACCCACCCGAGCACAAATATTCTGTTACTTTCGTATCGAAAGTCGGAACAAAAAGCATACAGCGTCAACAATCAATGTATCTTACATTTTTTTGTTCTTATTTTAAAGATTTTAAAATGAGTCACAAATAGAAAATTTCAATTTTAATTCCTTTATAAAGATTTAAATTTACGAGTTACGGTGATCAAAGATAAGTTTTCCAAAAAATGGAAAAGGGTGGAATATGGAAAAGTTACAAAAATCATTGAGCCTGCATCGAATTCCGAACTGAATTGCCTTAGTTTTGATTAGTTGAAGACACAACTGGGCCTAGTGCGAAACAATTTAAGTTAAGCAAAAGTTGTATTTTGCTGCGCGCTAATGTTTAAACCGATAGTTTTTGTTCGAACTAAATTAACAAACCTCGAAAAGAAAGAAATTTGCTCGACTTATGTTTTGAACCTGCTTGAGGTATATTTTTATCGTACTCGAAGTATGTTTCGACCGTGCTTGCAGCATGCTCGAGGTATATTATGTCCATCATTGAGGTTTTTTGAGGGAGCTTGTTAAAAGTTTTCCTCCCACGTTGATGATATATAAAAACTTTAGAACCCTTTTACCTTCAAAAAATCATACAATATTTAGTTTCGCTTACAAAGTGTCGGTTTGAAATTGTTGTAACTTTGATTTTAATCGGGCGTAGAAAAATGTTGCAAAAAATTTTCTATCTGAATTCATATATTAAGATTATTTATACACGAAGAATAGGACCAACATACGAGCTGTACAGCTCATCACAGCGAACCGCTGTTGTACCCTGCTTACGAACTACATGCATTTTTTGGTTAATTTTTCTGGGCTGGGTAATGTTGCCTCACCCTCAAGCAACGAGCACGGATCATGGTGGGCCTCGAACATCCGACCATTCGATTGAGAGGCGGAGACGTAACCACTTCAACACTGCTCCCCACTTCATATATAGGGGGTGAATTTCAGTGACAAAAACATCCAAAACAAAATTTAGAAATTTTTTCAGTTTTTTAGAAATTTCATCGATTTATTTTATTTTAAATTACTCCATAGAAATTAAACCGCTGTTGGAAGTTTCAGTGCTTTGCCCTGAAAGAAGCATTCTTGATTTTATTTTGCATTTACATTTCTGAAAAATTAGCGTTCGTTTTTTATTGCTAAGTATTTCTGGTAGGAAGATTTCGTGATGAAGTATACAGTTTTCATTTCGACTTTATATCTCAATTTATTTGGTCATAAAATTATAAGATTTCGCTGTCTAGTTCAATGATTTTTTTGTTAACACCCTTGTTGTTTGTTCGAAAACATTTGATCCCCTTATTGCTTATTCGAAAACAAAACTTTCGTGGTAAGTTTCAATCAAACTCATATTGTAGCACCCGCTTTGTATGTGAAAACTTTGCCATAGTCTCTACACACATTTTTTCTTGGACGCTTCGATAAATCTCTATTTTGTTTAAAAAAACTGAATAAAGTGTGAAACGCATTTAATATGATATAAACTGGATGCTTTGTATCTAGAATTCCAATTTTTGGGAAAAAAAGTCAACGGATCGGGGCAAAAGGAAAAATATATTAATTGTAGTTTTGATGTTTGGAGTTGAACTTTGTTCGAACCAGTTTCAGTGATGGAAATCAAAGTTGTTAACAAGGAAAAATTGTTGAACTTTTACAAAGAGGGACAAGTGCTTTTGTAAAGCCTCTCCTGTCTCTTTAGTGATTTATCCTATCGCTATAAGTCTCACCTAAGATCATCAATTTTTTTATTGACAAAATTTATATTAAAAAAAATACTTGGAAAAGAGTATGAAATTATAAACTGGATAAACATAAATAATTTAAAAACTTAGTGAACATTTATCTTTAGTACCAATAGGGATGGGGTCCTTACCTAGTTTTTAAATTTGAACTAACACCTCATTTGCTTGAAGTCCTCGTCTAGATTGCTGTTTGATTTGTCTACCTATAGTCAATCAGAGTATTGGGTCATTAATTTGCTAGATCCGTGTTGATGCTTTTATTTTTCCGCAACTTATAAAAATTAAAATATTTATCTTGATAGTTTTATTTAAAAAAGAAAGAAAGAGAAAGAAATAAATTATTCTGTGAAAAGTTAACTCGACTGAGCGAACAGAAATGAGAATGGGATTGAAAATTATGAAGACTTTAGAACGCTCCAGTTTTAAAGCGAGAAAGCTTCAAAAGACGTTTGTAATAATTCTAAAAATGAGACTACTGAAAACTCAGATGAAACAAAACATATATTGATTAAAGTTAGACATGTTAAAAAGAGTTTATTCATTCAGCCTTCGATTTTGCAGGTGTTCTTTTTCTTTGTGTTTTTGTTAGGCTCCGGGTGCTTATCATTTAATTGTCTGCAATTAAAAGCAGGACATTTCAACCAGTCCACTTTTTTTTAATTTCCAATAAAGTAGTCCGTGAGAAATATTGTATACTTAAAATTAAACCAATCTAAAAAGATTGAAAACAACGGATTAGTAATCAAAGTGCTGACAAAACTAAAGTGGCAAGCGTTCCACTGTAATCTTAAGTAATTAATTAAAACAATAGTCTTTTATGATCGTGTAATTTTTACAATAGTACAAATTCTTCGTTTTTTCGGAATGTGAAATAGGACCAAATTGTATTTAGTCAGATAGGAACTGGATGCTTCATGTCTAATATTCTTTTGTTTAGAAAAGAATCAGAAAATCGAGGTACGGGAAGAATGAAAATAAACTTAATAACAAAAAATTTCAACCCCAATGAAGAAACGAACTCTTTGAGCTCAAATTTGAAAAGAAAATTTCCTATTAACTTTTATTGTATTGTTGTTCGTTCTGGGGTTTGCCCATTTGGCTTTGTTCTGGAATTTTTTTGCTGGGGTGGATTTGGGGGGGGGGGGGGGGTAGGAGGTTTTATTTTTTCGAAATCGATTGCCTGCCAACCCAAAGAGTCCCCCTTGTACTATTTTGAGACATCCATTTCTGGCTGACGGACCCTAAAACATTTCCAAAGACGCCCTTGGCTCCAATATATACTCATTTTGAGGGGGGAGCGCGCGCCAAGAAAAGTCTAATTTTGGTCAAATTTTCCAGAAAAAGTCTTTAAACGCCTTTTTATGGCCTGTTTTTACAACAATTTGACTGCCGCGCAAAAATAAAAATTGGCCAAAACAAGGTCTTTTTGATGCTTTGAAGAGAGCTTGGAAAATCAATTTGGTCGATCTAAAAAAACAAAAGGTCGACTAAGTTTTCAAAAAAAAATTAAAAATCCGAGGTGCTCCGCTCCTTGAGTTGAGAAAATCCTAGATCTAACCCTGATTCTACGTGCTTTGAAAATGAAATAATGAAATGCGCATTTTTCAATTTATCTGTGCATGACTAATTTTCAGTGCTAAAAAAGTTTCAAAATGAATTGAGGCAAATTATTTGAGGCGTATGCCTTGACATACCACAAGTATTGTATTCTACGAGCAGACTTGTATTGATAATGGGAACAAGTGACGATTGTTTCTATGGGCCGTTTAAGAATTGACAGACGCTCGTTAAAAAAATAAGTTTTGAAGTTTCCTATTTTTATCTGCACATTGCAGACACAAATTAATATTAAAAAGTAGACATAAATTCAATTTTTCGTTCGATCTGATACAAAAATGACAATAATGCAATTGTCTTTATCCAAGGGATGAACTTTTGAGGCTTTTAAATTAGATGGCCCAAAAAGAGGAACTAAGTCAGAACATTTCAAAATACAAACATCATTGCTCGTAACCGGGCAAAGCCCTAAATGTTCTGAATTCCTTTTAAGGTCTATAATAACAGGAAAAAATTATATATATAGAAAAAAAACTAGAGGGAAAAAACTTAAAATTTGAACTTTTTTGCAAAAATCTTCCACCCACACGCCTTATAAAGTACAAAGTGATAAATTTCGCTTAGTTACATATTAATTATGACAAATAAGCTTTCTTCAACCAAATTGGACTAATTTCTGAGACTGATTAAATCTTATGACGCGTTAGTTGTCCCAAATTGGCTGAAATGGCAATCGTTAAACCCTCATAACTTTATTCAAAAAGGATCACAGGTGAAATGTTTTTTTTTTAATTTAAACTCAGGACAACAAAACTTTTTGAATGTTATTTTAAAAATTTTTTCAAAAACGGCTAGTTAAAAGCTCGAAACTTGTCTGAAGAAAAAAAGAACCACCCCGGGCACAAATATTCCGTAACTTTCGTTACAAAAGTCGAAGCAATAAAATGAGCTTTTTCAATCGCAATGAACGGCGGTTTTTTTTCTTTTTCACCAAGTTTTGACATTTTAATTAGCCATTTTTGATGAGATTTTTGATATAATTCAAAAAGTTTTGGGTGTTTAACGATTGCCATTTCAGCCGACTTTGGACAAATAACGCGCGATAAATTTTGCGCTATTAACGCAGGAGCGGAGATTCAATCCGTCTCAGAAATTGGTTCAAATTGGTTGAAGGAAGTTTATTTGCCATTTTTGATATGTAGCTAAGAGCAAAATCGATCACTTTATACATTATATTAAATTTTAGTTTTTTTTCATCTTAATTTTTTCTTTTATAATTTTTTTCTTGTTATTATTGCTGCATAGACCTTAAAAGGCATTCAGAACCTTTAGGGCTTCGACCTGTTACGAGGCATATTGTTTATTTTTGAAAATGATTTGACTTAGTTCCTCTTTTTGGGCCGTCTAGTTTAAAATCCTCAAAAATTCATCACTACAAACAAAAAAAAATGATTTCTTTTTTTTTCAAAGAAAAATATATGGCCTCAAGGCGCGGATGTAGGATTCTATCGAGGGGTGGGGCGGGGCGTATTTTCAAAAAGTTTTGAAAACTTAGTTGACCTTTTGTTTTTTCTTAGGTTGAGCAAATTGCTTTTCCAAGCTCTCTTCAAAGCACTAAAAAGACCTTGTTTTGGCCAAAATTTTTTGCGCCGCAGTCAAATTATTGATAAAACAGGCCAAAAAAGCGTTTTAAGACACTTTCTGGAAAACTTTGACCAAAAATTAGAGTTTTTTTGGCGCGCCTTCCCCCCTTAAAATTAGTATATATTGAGCCAAAGGCGCCTTTGGAAATATTTTAGGGTCTGTCAGCCAAAAGTGGATGTCTCAAAGTAGTACAAAGGGGGACCCTTTGGGTCGGCAGGCGATCGGTTTTGAAAGAAAAGGACGTCCCCCCCTAAATCCGCCCTTGCGTAGAATTATCCAGAACAAAGCCAAATGGGCGATTCTTAAAACCCCAGAGCGAACATTAGAAAAAAAAGTTAAAACGATTTTTTTTTGATATTTGACCTCAAAGAGTTGGTCTTTTCATTGGGGTTGAAACTTTTTTGTTAACAACTTTATTTCCATTCTTAACGTACCCCGATTTACTTATTCTTTTCTAAACATTAAAATACTAGACATAAAGCATCCTGTTCATATCTGATTAAATACAATTTGGTCTTAATTCAGATTCCGAAAAAATAAAGAATTTGTACTATTGTAAATACTACACGATCATAAAAGACTATTGCTTCAATTATCTACTTAAGATTAGAGTGAACTCCTTGCCACTTTAATTTTTTAACCCTTTAATTACTAGTCCGTTGTTTTCAATCTTCTTAGATTGGATTCCTTTTGAAATATACAAATTTTTTTCACGGACTAATTTATTGGATATTAAAAAAAAGAGTGTCGCCATACAAGCGGTTTGGTTGAAATGTCCTGCCTTTAAAAGTAGACATTAAAACAATAAAACGTTGTACCCCCCCCCCCCCCCGCGAAAAGTGAAATGAAAACATTCAAAATAACTGGATTGAAATTACTAAAAAACGTAAGGTTGATGTTGCGAGCACTAAATAAACTTGAAAATTGCAAAAATCGAATAAAATGACATTTGAAAAAACAAGGAAAAAGTGTTGGACTGCTCAAGACGAATCAGTTTACTTAATTAAGTCTCAAATTAGTTCTTCTCTCTATTTTTTGATGTTTTCTCTAAAGTTTTATTAATATGATTCCAAACTTATTTTAATTCTCGTTTAAATAGCATTTTTTCATAACTTCAAGTTGATTTTGGTACTGTTTGAGTGAGATAAACTTAAATTTTCTACTGTTTTTGCATGCAATTAAAATATATCGGTCGTGGCATTCATTTTCCTCTGTTTGTCCGAGTGAAACGTCCTGAAAGACATGTTGGTTTTAGCATATTTATTTACCAAAATTAAGAACATATTCATACCATATATTGAATCATTTTCTTTTCGTGCGTGCTCTGTTGCTACTGAAGGTCCCTTGGTGCTCAAATCTGATTGGCTCTCAGAGTCACACCACCACATATGATCGACTGCGCGGTCATGTATAAAATATTCAATTGTTCGTTTGAACACGTCAACACAATAATAAAAATACACTTACGTATTTAGCTGTCGTATGACTTGACTCATTCATATTTTACTTTCATTTGTTTTACTTTCGTCAACCAATATCTTGTGTAAGTAGTTCTTGTGACAAGCAGGGTCTAAAATAAGAAAGACTTCTTCTGCACCTGATTAGAAAATTGCCAAAAAATATACCTGTCAGTCTGAGATTACAGTTAAATAGGGAACTCGAACTGAAAATAAACACATTTTATTATTTGCTACAAAATTCAATCACTGACAACAAAAATCAAACCCCATTGTTTGAGCTCAAATCTTTTCAAAAAGATATCTAAAAATATTCTTAAAAACCAGTTGGACGCGAATAAATAAATTTCCGCAGTAATTTCCCAGGTAAGTTTTTCAATTTGGATAAAGTGAAAAGTTCCAAATTAACAAAATGAATGGTGAATGCCGAGTCCACGGAATATTCGAGCCGAAATGATCCCCCTATAGCACCTAGTAACACTCATATCATCCACGCTTATAATGATCTTGAGCTATCCGAGGGTTGTAAGCACTCACTAGGATCGATCCTAGTAGCCACTCCATTTTTAACGGGATTGAGATTGTTGAAGGGGTTCGCTGAGGGGTTCAATTTTGACCAAATTTTGTCTTGACGAACCAAACTTTGTCACTTAATAATAACTAAATCATTTCTCAAAGAGCATATTTCCTAAACTAATAAAACAAGACTACTCGTATCAGGGCGAAGCCCTGAATGTTCCGACTGCCTTTTAAGTTTTATGGTGCAGTAGTAACATAAAAAAAAATTAAATGTAATAAAATAAAATTAAAATTTTTTTTTTAAGTTTGATTTTTTTTTTGAAAAATCATCCCCCCGCATGTCATAATAAGTATTGAGTGATAGATTTTGCTCCTTGTAACAAATCAATTATGGCAAATAAGCTTCTTTCAACCAATTTGGAACGATTTCTAGGACGGATTAAATCTCCGCTTGCGCGTTAATAGCGCAAAATATATCACGCGTTAATTGTCCCAAATTGGCCAAAATGGCAATCTTTAAACCCCCATAACTTTACGAAAAGTAATCACAGGTGAAATATCTTTTCAAATTTAAGCTCAGGACAACAATACCTTTCGAATGATATAAAAATTTCCGTCAAAAATGGCTAGTTAAAAAGTCGAAATTTGTCTGAAGAAAAAAAAAACCCACCCCGAGCACAAATATTCCGTTACTTTCGTATCGAAAGTCGGAACAATAAACGATAAAGTTTCATTTGGCCAAGCATATATGAGAGTTGAGTGAGTCCCTAAAAACAGAGTCCCTGAATTTTTTTGGCTCTAAAATTATCTAAAACAGTTTAATTAATATTTTTGCGCTTGTTTTTCTTAAGTGACACATTTATCACTCTTGTACGATCTTTTTATTAGAGCTTTTCAAAGCAGAAGCTTCAAAAATATCATGAGCTGGAAAAATCTCTTTTTTTAATGTTTTCATTCATCCAACATCCAACTATCATGACCTGAAATTTATTTCATTTAACCTACAAGACGAGCAAATATTGATTTTATACATATTTGACCTACAGACTACTACAACAATCAATAGTCAAAGTTTGTTTGGATAAGCTAAGCATGCATTTTTTGCCATTAACGGCTCCAAGGATGCTTAGGTTGCTTACAGAAATTGACACTATCGTATAGTAAAACTCTTTCGCCATACAAAGTGTGTCCTTATTGGCTAAAAGGTCAAATGAAGTCAATATGTTTCACCTTACCTCATACTTTCAAACATACCAGTTTGTCCAGACAAGACAATTCGTCTGCTTTCAGATTCGCGCCGAGATCAAATCACAAACAAACTTCGAATAGCCGATTTTGACCGTTACAGAAAAGCCATCACTACTCGCCAAAAGAAACAAAGATTGCATAAATCAACACTTCCGTTTCTCCAAAATCTGCTCCAAAAATGACCATCAAGACTAACTTAGACTGTCAAACTAAAGTAATCGACGTAAGTTTTTCCTCATTTGCTATCTTTCTATTGTTAAATCTACATTTTTAGCATGTAAAATGTGGTAAATGGAATCATTTTAGAAGGTTATAACTTGCATAAACTTTACAGGAGCAGGAGGGAGTCCGAATTTCGAGACAATGTCCCGGAAACAAGATCGTGAGCGACTTCTTCACTGACCTCGAACAAACCACCCTGCATTGCTTGTTCCAACGCGGCCTCAGACTGTCGAGTAAGTTTGCATGATGATCGCGAACTCTTAAGTAAATCTTTTCGGGGGGAATCATTTTACAAATTTGATTTTTTTTCTAGACGCGAGAGTGAGATGACTCGGTTTTGTGTTCATGGAAAACACCCATGATTTGTTCTAGTTTTTTTCATTGTTCCTGTTATTCCGGATTTTCGCCTTCATAAACAATAATTTTGGTTTTACTGGAAGAACAATAAAACCACTCTTATGCAAAGTGAGAGAAAATAAATTATACGTTTGGATAATTAACGTCTGTCCAAACTTAGTCTTTAATCACAGCAGGTTGTAATATGTATATCAAGGGGGTGTACAGGGCGGGGAGGGAGATTTTCTACATGGCATTTTCGCACTCTTTAGGAGACAAACCCTGTCTGGGTTCCCGTCTGCCCTCAGAGGACAGTTACTCGTGGAAGACATACGAGGAGGTAGACACTCTGGCCCAGAGGGTGGGGTCCGCCTTGATCCACTTGGGTCACTCTCCGAGGAGTCTGGACAAGATCGGAGTGTACGGCACCAACCGATTGGAGGTCAGTCAGTATGCTCTAATTCATTAAACGAATGAAGAACAAAAAGAAAAATTATAAAAATTATTTCAAATCATTCTAAAGTCAACAATTTTCATCAAAAAATTGCAAATAATAAAAAAAAATTGCAGATAATAAAAAAAGATATGCTTTAGAAACGAGACTATGATGGGACAGACAACAGCCACTGTTTAACATATAACAGCGAAAAGCTATTGGTATCTTTAAATTGTTAATTGAAACTGTTAATCTGGTTTTAGTGGGACGTCACTCAGATAGCGTGCAATGCCTTCTCCCTCGTCACTGTGCCCCTCTACGACACTCTGGGAGTGGAGGCCATATCTCAAATCATATCCACCACAGAAATGAAGACAGTCGTGTGTGACAATGAGGACAAGGTCACCAGACTCCTCAAGTGTCGCAACGAGTGTCCAGACTTGTCACTTGTCGTAACCATGGACCAGGTTTGTTATTTTTTTTTAGCTTTTTTTGCAGAATTAGGAAGGTAAATAAGGTGAAGATATGTCAATCATCTTTTTTTTCACTTTTTTTGTCAGGTCTTTTTTCATAAAAAGTTTTTTAACATAAACTTCTATTTTTCCGGCTCTTCCGAAAAGGATCCTTATATTCCATTTACAAGAACTAATTTACCCAAAAAACAAGGGCAGAAAAGGTTATTTAATTGCCTGAAAACTTAAATCTGTTGAAAATGTTTCCTTTCTCAAGCCGCGGGCCACTTCTGTGAAATAACCGTTATGCTGTTATGCAAAGTTCTTGTATGTTTTACTTTTTGAACACATCGTCCATTGCTTAATTTAATAATTTGCACAAGTTCTGATTTTGCAGTTTAAATTACGAAGCTTTAAGTCTTTTAAAACCTGGCATAAGTCTTTAAGTTTTCAACTGATGTAAATTTTGAGGTTGAATTTGTCCTCAAAATTTACGTTTTTTTTGTCCAATTGACAGGTATCCTCAATGACTGTGGCAAAAGGGAAGCAGGAGGGACTGAAAGTTGTCAGCTTCGAGGCTCTGGTTGAGATGGGAAGAGTGAACCCCCACGCATTCACGCCACCTTCGGACCCAAATACCCTGGCTCTCATTCTGTTCACTTCTGGCACAACAGGGTGTCCAAAGGGGGTGATGTTGTCGAACAGGAACCTCGTGACGGACGTAGGAGCCATGTTAGCCCATTACGAAGCAAGTATTAGTCATCTTTGCAAAATCTCTAAAGTATTTACGGCAAAGAAAACAAATAGCTCTATTGACCCTAAAAGTTCTGTTTTTTTTATGCTTGGCATTTAAAACAAGTTCATTAGTTGAGCACTGCTTTTTATATTTTAAACTACCGAACTTAAATACCAGACCATCAATTTGTTTACTTATGAAGGTAACTTCTAAACTTTATATGGCAATTTAATTGAGTTTGAGGTCAAGAAAAGCCTTTTTTTTCTCGAAAAATAAATATAAAAGAAAGCAGCGTTAAAACGGTGGATCTACGTGAAGAGCTGAAGAGATCTTCTGTTGGTCTTTTCCATGGTCAAAAAGTTGTTTTAACCTAAATTTATACATGTTGTAATTTGTTATCTAATCCTGTCTGTTTGTAGCCGATTGCAAGCCCGAATAACGAAGACAGTGTCATATCATACCTGCCTCAAGCCCACGGATTTAACCAAGTCATCACCCAGTGCATGTTCGCATGGGGCGCCAGAGTGGGATACATCAGCGGAAGTGTGCTGCAGCTCCTCGACGACGTCAGGGCTCTCAGACCCACCTTGTTCCCAATTGTGCCTCGACTGATGAACAAGATCTATGACAGTATCTGGCAACGAGCTTCGAAGAGTACCTTGAAGAAACTGCTGTTGAAGAAAGCGTTCGAGGCTAAGAAACACCAGATGGAGAAAGGAGCGTTCGTGCATAATGATTTCTGGGACAAGTTGGTGTTCCGCAAAGTGCAGAAGTTGCTAGGAGGCAGAGTGAAGGGAATGGTGACGGGATCTGCGCCTGTTTCTGCCGAAGTACTCACTTTTGTGAGGTGTGCGGTCGGCTGCGACGTTCTTGAAGGTAATTTCTTGTGAGCAATGCTCTAGATGTTTTTTGGAGGTAAAAGTTTTGGGAGTTGAAATTTATCAAAAGATGTGACATTAACAAAGCCTCGCTTTTGGAGTCGATGCTGTTTCGCCTTGAGTTATATAATCGTTTCACATCTTCTGATAAATTTTATCTCCCAACTTTTGCACGTAGTTTATTAGCGGACGGCATCAGGCGTTTTCTGGTCAACATTGTCACCTTTCAACACTCGTGACATTAACAAAGCATCGCCTTGCTGTTTCGCCTTGAGTTATATAATCGTTTCTCGAGTGTTGAAAGGTGGCAATGTTGGCCAGAAAACGCCTGATGCCGTCCGCTAATGAACTACGTGCAACTTTTAGCACCGTTTTTGAACTAAGATAGATACTGCTTACCCCATTATGGAAGAAGTATTGGTCAACGTAGGCCTCGAACTACCGACCTTGTTATTGAAAAACTTAAAACAATTGAATGAAAAAAAATGTAATTTTGTGTTCAGGCTATGGTCAGACGGAGACAACTGCTGCGTCCACGTGTACCGTGTCAGGTGATTTCCGCCCGGGTCACGTGGGAGTGCCTTTGATGTGCTGTGAGGTGAAATTAGTTGACATCCCTGACATGAACTACTACGCCAAACAAAACAAAGGAGAGGTTAGAAAAAAAGGTTTTGAATATTTTTATTAATAGCAAATATACGTTCACTTCGCTCAGAAAACTTTTTGTGCAAGAATTTTTTAATTAACCAAGGGCATTCAATGATGAGTAGTATGCAAAAATTGGTGAACGTAAGTTTTTAGCAAGAAAGTCTTGTGCTTCTATTACAGGATTCAGTATTTATGGTTTTGTATTTTTCAATTTTTGGGTTTTTGGCCTATCCTATTAGCAATGTTTGGTCAATCATATTGGTGAAGAAATACTTTTTTTTTTAAATGAATTCTTTTTGAAAATCTGATGTTCTGCAGATCTGCTTCCGTGGTCCTCACTGCTTTTTGGGATACTGGAAGGACGAAGAGAACACCAGGGCCACAATTGACCATGACGGTTGGGTGCACTCTGGGGATGTAGGATTATGGACTGAACAGGGAACTTTGCGAATCATAGACCGGAAGAAGAATATTTTCAAACTGGCACAGGGAGAGTACATTGCACCCGAGAAGATAGAGGGCATCTATCTGCAGGCCAGCTCAGTGGCACAGGTCTTTGTACACGGAGAAAGCTTGGAGGTGAGAAAATGTTTCTACTTTTCGGACTTATTTTAAAACTCACTCAGTTCTCTCCCCCCCCCCCCCCCTACCCCCTACCTCACACGAAGATGAATTTTATGGTGTAACGAGTGGTTTTACAAGGTTAATTATGAAGACCAAATATGTTAGTACGATTTTGGGTACAAACATAAAAATCAGTTATATAAATATGTTTGTACAAAGGGCCCCCCTTTGTACTATTTTGAGATATCCATTTTTGGCTGATGGACCCTAAAAATTTTCTAAAGGCGCCTTGGATATTTTTGAAGGGGGAGTGCGCGCCGAAAAAACGCAATTTTTTTGGTCAAAATTTTTCAAAAAGTGCCTAAAAACGCCTTTTTTGTAGATTTTTTTTAAATTTTGCTAGCGGCGAAGAAAATTTGGCCAAAACAGGGTCTTTTTTTAGAGGCTTGGGAAAGCTCGGAAAATCAATTTGTTTGGTCGACCTAAAATAAAAAGATCGACAAAATTTCAAACATTTTTTGAGAATCCACATACATCCACCAAAGCAGGGTTAGTTTTTCACGTTAATTTATACTATTGTCAATGTAATTTGAGAAGTGATTCTGCGAAACTCAAAAATGAATATTTTTGGTTCTCAAATTGATTTATAACTTTAAAGACTGTATGGTTTGTTACATTCGCAGTGGTGAATCGCTTCTGTTTTTCAAGCTTAATGGAGCTTTAAGTTGAAAACGCAGCCTGGAAAGACATTGAAGTATGCAATTTAATGCGCATTTTTTATCGGTTGTAAACTTTTTTTGAACTAAATTGATTTTTCTTCAAATTTTTATTTTTTCGAATTTTGCTTTAAATAAAAATTACAAATTTGAATTCTCATAGCCTGTAAAAAAATTTGCGAAGAAAATTGGCAATTGAAATTTCCAGCCAAAATTATTCTCTAAAGCTTTATGTCTTTGTTTGTGGATCTATTGGCCACTTGGACCATTCGTGACCCTCAAACAAAGACGAATCGTATCGATCCAATTCCGATGCTAAAATTAGTTTGTAATATTAAATGAAAATGTGATTTTCTAATTTGGTTCCAAAATGGTGCCAAAAATAAAGCCAGACTTTTACCACACGTTGAGCCAAATGACGCAAGCGTCACACGATATGTTATAAAAGCTGAATATAAAAAAGATACTTAAGACCAAACACTTGAATCGAATACGCAAGCTAGTTTTATACCGTAAAATAATAGAAAAAAGAAAATAAAATTTATCACATAACTATGATAAACACATGAGAAAATTAACATATGATAAAAAAAGACGTTTTATTGAAGTTTTCAAACCAACATGTGCATTCTAGCAGAGGCCCTTCACATTTTGGAAGTATAGTTACTAAATTTGGCATTGCTATAACGAAACTAAGCCACTCGACCATGCGTTCAAACTGTCATAATATGAATTGGTGATGCTGGAATCTAAGTGTATTTATCGTAGCATGCATAATTTAATAATTTTAATTGCAGTTAAAAATTTTGGACTGATTTAACCAAACTTTCAGCTAAGAAACCCAAGTTGCTCGTAACTTGGCAAATTCTTGTAATTTCCAACTGCCTTGTAAATGGTCTCAAATAGTAATGGATGAAAAACTTTGATGACCTATGAATTTTGAATAACCAATATCAAACTAAAGTGTTAAAAACTGAATAGTTATCTACAGGAAAATAAGAACCAATTAATTAGGTTACCTCGTTGTTCCAACTTTGGAAGAAAACACCACAGAATAGTTGTGCTCGGGGTTGTTGTTCCGACGTTCGTAACGAAAGTAACGGAATATTTGTGCTCGGGTGGGTTTTTTTCTTCAGACAAATTTCGGCTTTTTAACTAGCCATTTTTGACGATTTTTTAAAATATCATTCGGAAGCTATTGTTGTGAGCTTAAATTTGAAAAAAAATCACACCTGTGATCTTTTTTTTTCGTAAAGTTATGGGGGTTTAAAGATTGCCATTTTGGCCAATTTGGGACTAACGCGCGATATATTTCGCGCTGTGTGTGTACGCGTAACCTGAGATTTAATCCGTCATAGAAATCGTTTCAAATTGGCTCAAGGAAGCTTATATGCCATAAATGATTTCTTAATAGGAACAAGACTTCTCGTATTAGGGCGAAGCCCTGAAGGTTCCGACTGCCTTTTAAGGTTTATGGAGCAGTAATAACATAAAGTTCAATGAATTGAAACAATGAAAAAAAAATTTTCTAAAATTTGAAATTTTTTTATAAAAATCGTCCCCCCACACGCCATATAAAGTACAAAAGGATAAATTTCGCTCCTTGTAACAAATCAATTATGGCAAATAAGCTTTTTTTAACCAAGTTGGAACGATTTATAAAACGGATTAACTCTCCGCTTACGCGTTAATGGCGCGAAACATATCGCGCGTTAATTGTCCCAAATTGGCCACAATGGCAATCTTAAAACCCTCGTAACTTTGCGAAAAATGATCACAGATGGAATATTTTTTCAAATTTGAGCTCAGGACAACAATACCTTTCAAATGATATTAAATCCGTCAAAAATGGCTAGTTAAAAAGTGAAATTTGCCTGAAGAAAAAAACCCACCCCGAGCACAAATTTTCCGTTACTTTCGTATCGAAAGTCGGAACAATAAAATCTACCACTTTGTACTACATACGGCGTGCGGGGGGATGTTTTAACAAAAAATCTCAAATTGAAAGAAAAATTAATTGTATTTCATTACATTTAATTTTTTCATGTTATTACTGCTCCGTAGCCCCTAAAAGGCAGTCGGAACATTCAGGACTTCGCCCTGAAACGAGCAGTTTTGTTTGTTTTTTATTAGAAAATTTTCGACTTTCCGACTAGCAATTGTTAGCAAAATTCCTGAAACCATCTGAAAGGTTCATGTACTGAGCTCAAGTTTAAATAGATATTTCACTTGTGATCGTTTTTGTTATTGAGGGGTTTGAAAATAGCCAAGTTTGGACAACTATGGCTCAAATTACTTTTATAAACGGTGAAATAATCCGGTTCAGAATTTGTTACATTTTGAACTGAGACATTCTATTAGTCCTAATTGTTAGGTTACTATAAAAAAATTGATCACTTTGTTTTTAAATGCTGTTTAGGGCGATGATTAAAAATATCAAAAAAAAGTTCAAACTTTTTATGAAAAAACTTTATCAACTTTATATTTAACTTTTCCATAGATTTTATTAGGAAGATAAAATTTGACAATTTCTCTCCGATACGAAAAGTCTTGTTGTTCCGAATTCCGATACTAAAGTAACGGAATATTTGTGCTCGGGTGGGTTTTTTTTCTTCAGACAAATTTCGACTTTTTTTAACTAGCCATTTTTGACGAAATTGTTATTACATCATTCGAAAACTACTGTTGTCCTGAGCTTAAATTTGAAAAGATATCGCACCTGTGATCATTTTTCGTAAAGTTATGAGGGTTTAAAGATTGCCATTTTGGCCAATTTGGGTCAATTAATGCGTGATATATTTCGCGCTATTAACGCGTAAGCGGAGAGTTAATCCGTCTTGGAAATCGTTCCAAATTGGTTGAAAGAAGATTATATACCGTAATTGATTTGTTACAAGGAGCGAAATTTATCCTTTTGTTCTTTATATGGCGTGTGGGGGATGATTTTCATGAAAAATGTCAAATTTTAGAAATTTTTTTTTCATTTTGTTTTAATTTAATTTTTTAATGTTATTACTGCTCCATAAACATTAAAAGGCAGTCGGAACATTCAGGGCCTCGCCCTGATACGAGCAGTCTTGTTTTATTTGAAAACAAGTATAGCGCGAGGTTTTTTGTTTTGTCTTGCAGCATTAACTTGCGTTAGGCTTCCAGTATCATAAATATAACATTCAAAGCGCGGATAGTTGAAACAAAATTTATAATAGCGATTTGAAGAACATTTTAAAGTTCTAGATACTCACTCAGATATTACTGCTTTTTTGATACTGAAAATTTTGTTTTTCGTTTACTTTGTGGGAGTTTCGTTGTAATTAAAACAAATTTTTTCGTCGATGATTTGGCGCTAGTTTTCTTCAAGCACCTGATGGTAGCAAAACTGCTGAACAATTACAGAAGCTGCAGTTCTTCTTGACCAACTAGAGTGCTGCTATCAGTCCTGGGTCTTGATTGTCTTAAATGCCGTAAAAATGCTAGGATCTTTTTGTTCCGAATTAGGATGAAAGTGGTGTTTTTTCTTATTCAGACCACTTCTCGGGGTGCTTTTTTATCAGACGACTTTTACAACACTCTGGTCTCTCGTGGAATCGATCTTTTGATCTGCATGGGGCCAGCCGCCTGTGCTCACCACTATATTAACCTGCCATGAGTTTGAATTAAGCTGCTTGTTTTTTATCCTACACTACAAAATAGTTCCAAATTGAATCGAGGCAGCTAGTTGGTTGTATTAACTCCATACACGACTCAAATTGCAACACTTGATTTTTGATCTTTGCCAAAATTTAATTCATAGCTTTGCCAAAATTTAATTTACCAAAAACTATCCGATACCAATTAATGAGCAATCGGAACATTCAGGGTTTTGTAATATACGCAAAAACTTAAATGTGATTCCAACAATTTATTGCCAAGTTTTTTTTGAAACTTCATGTTTTGGTTTCTCTGTCTCTGAGACTTGTGAAGTTTTTGAACCAATACGCGTCGTTCAATTTAATTTGTGTGCACAATATTGGGCATTGTTTCAATAATTTGTCGCGCTTACGCGTTGTGCACAATAGATAACCCCCTGATAGTGCGCTTGAAGTATTCCCGAAAATTTCGTGCTTCAAAAGAGTTATTGCTGTAGAGATAACTTTTTACAATTGACTGTTTTAAAAATAACCTTGAAATCTTTTTTTTTCTATCAAGAGAAGTGCGCTGATTAAAAAAAAAGGTACTAGCTTACTTGTTTGGTCTCAAGACTAACTAGCCCGGTACTTTTTTCACAAAAAGAGCAAGTTTTTTCTGGCATCTAGTTGATGTTTTGATAACAATACAAGCTTTTGTTCCCTCAAATTTACCAGAACGGTTTCTATTCACAACATGGGGGGGGGGGGAGGGGGTTTCGGGGTGGGTATTAATAGCAAATTTCGTTTGTAATTAATATACTGTTTGTTTAGACGTGTTGTGTGGCTGTGGTGGTGGCCGATGAGGGGGTGCTACGAGAGGAGGCGAAGAACAGGGGGGTGGAAGAGAAGTCTTGGCGAGAGTTGTGTGGAAAGAAGGAGTTGAAACAGTTTGTGTTCGATGAACTCACCTCACTCGCACAACAACACAAACTCAACAAACTCGAACAGGTCAGACCACGGACGGGTTTTTTAATTATGATACGGACTATTTCATAGTTTATTAAATTGTATAACTAAATTCAAATAAAAGGTAGAAAAAGACAAATAAACTTTTTTATTGTAAAATTGTACAAAACTGGTTTTCAATTTTCAAGGAACAGTATCGATCCTGCATTCACTTTTGTAAAAAAAACGGATGAAATTTTTTTCATCATTCCAACAATTGGTAAATTAGAAATTTTAATTCTTGATTTTTTTTCGAAACAAGGAATATTTGTTATGGCTTTCAAAAACGGTTCGACCGATTTGTTCTCCTTTGAAGATTCTGCCAAAATTATAGGAAAGTTATTGAAACTGAAGTGAATTCTTTTAGGTTAAGAACATCTACCTATGGCCACAACAATTCTCTATCGAAAACGACCTCCTAACCCCCACGTTGAAATCGAAGAGGCCACAACTAAGAAAGAAGTTTGAGAACGAAATCAAGTCTATGTATGCCGAGATAGCCGATGGAACTGCCTTTTAATCCGGAGTTGAACCGTGCCAAATGCCAAACAAACCTGCTCTGAATCAATAAAGTAACCAAAAATATTTTTGCAATAATCCAACTCTAAAATCCTCAAATCTCATCCCTTCTGCGCAGTTAAATATTACCACTAAATATTAGTTATTAAACAATAACGATTACGCAATCAATCATAGCCATTGTTGCCCTTATGGTCTATAGTTTCACTAAAATTAAACGAATAGTTTTAGTTTATAAATATTATGTATAAAAAGTTTTATGTAAATTGACTGCCGAAAGCAATTTGTTTTTAGATAACCGTAATATAGACGAGACGATAGTTCAGATTCAGGTTTTAACTGTCTGATGTTCGAACGAGTGGGTCACTTCCACTCTTTTGTCGCCTTATAATCGGCGACAATTTTTTAAAAAATTACTTGAATCATTCGATAGCTTGATTAATGATAACTTCAAAATCCGGAACACAGCCTAGAAGCAGCGACCGCGTTTGGGATGACATGGATCCTCAGTTTAAATCCGACCGGGACCTGTTTTTTTCTCAAGGAAAATTTCCCGTCTCAAATCTATTGCCGGCGTATTCTCGGCATATCCACTTTGTCCGTTTCGTCAGCATAGCACGGACTTTTCTTGCAGTGAAAGCAATGTAATTGTTCCGACTTTCGATACGAAAGTAACGGAATATTTGTGCTCGGGGTGGGTTTTTTTTTCTTCAGGCAATCTTCGACTTTTTAACTAGCCATTTTTGACGGATTTTTTTTAATATCATTCGAAAGGTATTGTTCTCCTGAGCTCAAAATTGAAAAGAGATTTTACCTGTGATCATATTTCGTAAAGTTATGGGGGTTTAAAGATTGCCATTTTGGCCAATTTGGGACAATTAACGCGCGATATATTTCGCGCTATTAACGCGTAAGCGGAGAGTTAATCCGTCTTAGAAATAGTCCAAATTGGTTTAACCAAGCTTATTTGCCATAATTGATTTGTTACAAGTAGCAAAATCTATCCTTTTGTACTTTATATGGCGTATGGGGTGATGCTTTTTATAAAAATTTTCAAATTTTTGAAAAAAAAAATTAATTTTGTTTTATTACTTTTAATTTTTTTATGATATTACTGCTCCATAAACCTTAATGGGCAGTCGGAACATTCAGGGCTTCGCCCTGATACGAGCAGTCTTGTTGTTCTGACTTTCGATACGAAAGTAACGGAATATTTGTGCTCGGGTGGGTTTTTTTCTTCAGACAAATTTCGACTTTTTTTAACTAGCCATTTTTGACAAAAAATTTTTTAACATTCAAAAGATATTGTTGTCCTGAGCTTAAATTTGAAAAAATATTTCATCTGTGATCTTTTTTGGAAAATTATGGGGTTGTAAAGATTGCAATTTTGGCCAATTTTTGACAATTAACGCGCTATATATTTTGCGCTATTAACGCGTAAGCGAGATTTAATCCGTCTTAGAAATCGTTCCAAATTGGATCAAGGAAGATTATATGCCATAACTGATTTGTTAATAGCAGCAAAATCTATCATTTTGTACTTAATATGGCGTTTGGGGGGATGTTTTCACAATAAATCTCAAACTGTTAAGAAAAATTTAAATTTTACTTTATTACATTTAAATTTTCCATGTTATTACTGCTCTATAGACATAAAAAAGCAGTCGGAACATTCAGGGGTTCGCCCTGATACGAGCAGTCTTGTTAAATGCTAGAGATTGTTTTGCCCTATACGTCCTTCTCGAAATTGACATCTGAGCTACAATCATTTGCAATTTTGTTCCGACTTTCGATACGAAACTAACGGAATATTTGTGCTCGGGGTGGGTTTTTTTTTTTCTTCAGACAAATTTCGACTTTTTAACTAGCCATTTTTGACGGACTTTTCTTATATCATTCAAAAGGTATTGTTGTCTTGGGCTCAAATTTGAAAAGATATTTCACCTGTGGTCATTTTTCGTAAAGTTACGGGGGTTTACAGGTTGCCATTTTGGCCAATTTGGGACAATTAACGCGCGATATATTTCGCGCTATTAACGCAAAAGCGGAGAGTTAATCCGTCTTAGAAAGCGTTCCAAATTGAATAAAAGAAGCTTATTTGCCTTAAATGGTTTGTTAAAAGGAGCGAAATTTATCATTTTGTACTTTATATGGCGTGTGGGTGGATGATTTTCATAAAAAATTTCAAATTTTAGAAAAAATTTTTTTTCATTTTATTTTATTTCATTGAGTTTTTAAATGTTATTACTGCTCCATAAACCTTAAAAGGCAGTCGGAACAATCAGGGCTTCGCCCTGATACGAGCAGTCTTGTTATGTTTTCCAATTCTCAAAATGTTTCGACCTTAACTTTCTTTTTTTGATTCTGCTATCTTGCAATGCTAGGATTGTGACGCTAGTTTTGTGGCGCAAGTTGTGCAAAGCTTTAGTTCGCCTCTGCTTAATGCTTGTAGTCTTATGCGTTACTCGACATATTCGAAATCAAGTTGCGTATTCGAATGCAGTTGCGACCTATTCGAAAATTAGATCAGTCTGGGAAAAATTTCTGGGGCCAAAACTTCCTTAAACGAACTTTAGAATGTTACGACTGAAATGTTTCCGACTCGCTCGCTTTGAGTTTTTTGAAATACCCCAAATTTTTTGTATAATTTAAGTAGATCACGTACTAGTAAGCTACTACTTTAAGTTCCTTTATTTTCCCGAAAATTACTTTATTTTTCCGAAAAATATACCGTGAAAATCAAAAAGTCTCAAATTGCTAGCTTTATTTTAGTCAGTTTAAAATAGCAGTAAAATCATAATGCAGTTAATTGATCAAAGCTATTACCATAATAAGTTTCAAGAGAAGAAGGAGAATACCTCGCAACAAAACTTTAAAATTCCTGTCTTTTCTGTAACAAAGCTTGATCACGCAATCAAGATTCAATGATGCGCTAGTAGACGAACAGTTTTTTCAGCTTGGAGCGCGCCCCCAGAAAACATTTAAGTTTAGCAGCCAGAAAAACACTGTAGTTTTGTGTTACCAACGTTTATAATTTAATTTGCTTTAGATCTCTGTCGTTCGTATGTGCCCCCACTGAAATTTTATGAGAACTAGTCGATTATAATACATTACACAGCCAAAAAAAACATTCCCTTACTGTTCCGATGTTCGAATAAAGTGAGGAATATATATGCTCGGTGCGGTTTATTCATTCATACCATTTTCACAAAGTCTGGTTTCTCGGGGGGGGGGGGGGGTCTATCTTTTATTCCGCACTACAAAATCAATCCAAATTAAACTGAGAGATCTAATTGGGTTTTATTAACTCCATGCACGACTCAAATTGCAACACTCGATTTTTGATATAATCAACCTGAACATCAAATTTTTGCCAATATTTAATTTATCAAAATTTCGGAGACCAATTAAAGGGATGCCGGAACATTCAGGGCTTTGCCCGATTACGACCAGTCTTGTTATGGATTATGATATTCTTTTTTGAGCAAAAGTAGGATTTGAAAACGATCATAAGTTCTTTTTTCCAAAAATTTATATCAAACAGAACCCATTCCAAATCAATTAAAATGGGTTGTATTGGATTATATTAGAATGTAGTTTGTATTACTTTGTTACTTTGTTGCAAGTCATTTGCGTGTTTAGCAAATGCAACGCACAATTATTGAATATTCTGAACTGAGTTTGACAAGTAGGCATCAAATTTAGAAGAAAACATCTATAATCAACTTAAGAGGATTTATGTTCCGACTTTCGATACGAAACTAACGGAATATTTGTGCTCGGGGTGGGTTTGTTTTTCTTCAGACAAAATTCGACTTTTTAACTAGCCAGTTTTGACTGAATTTATTTATATCATTCGAAAGGTATTGTTGTCCTGAGCTTAAACTTGAAAAGATATTTCACCTGTGACTATTTTTCGTAAAGTTATGGGGGTTTAAAGATTGCCATTTTGGCCAATTTGGGACAATTAACGCGCGATATATTTCGCGCTATTAACGCGTGAGCGAGATATAATCCGTCTTAGAAATTGTTCCAAATTGTTGTAACGAAGCTTATTTGCCATAATTGATTTGTTTATAGGTGCAAAATCTATCACTTTGTACTTTTTATGACATGTGGGGGGATGTTTTTACATAAAATCTCAAAATTTTTCATCTTATTAATGCTCCATAGACCTTAAAAGGCAGTGGAATGAAATCTGACATAAGTTTAGTAACTCAAATCAAAACATATTTTCTAAAATCAACATTTGCTTCATCATAAACATAAAACGGAAGTTGATGTACTGTATGGGGGGGGAGGGGGTTCGGGGTGGGTATTAATAGCAAATTTCGTTTGTAATTAATATACTGTTTGTTTAGACGTGTTGTGTGGCTTTGGTGGTGGTCGATGAGGGGGTGCTACGAGAGGAGGCGAAGAACAGGGGGGTGGAAGAGAAGTCTTGGCGAGAGTTGTGTGGAAAGAAGGAGTTGAAACAGTTTGTGTTCGATGAACTCACCTCACTCGCACAACAACACAAACTCAACAAACTCGAACAGGTCAGACCACGGACGGGTTTTTTAATTATGATACGGACTATTTCATAGTTTATTAAATTGTATAACTAAATTCAAATAAAAGGTAGAAAAAGACAAATAAACTTTTTTATTGTAAAATTGTACAAAACTGGTTTTCAATTTTCAAGGAACAGTATCGATCCTGCATTCACGTTTGTAAAAAAAACGGATGAAATTTTTTTTCATCATTCCAACAATTGGTAAATTAGAAATTTTAATTCTTGATTTTTTTTCGAAACAAGGAATATTTGTTATGGCTTTCAAAAACGGTTCGACCGATTTGTTCTCCTTTGAAGATTCTGCCAAAATTATAGGAAAGTTATTGAAACTGAAGTGAATTCTTTTAGGTTAAGAACATCTACCTATGGCCACAACAATTCTCTATCGAAAACGACCTCCTAACCCCCACGTTGAAATCGAAGAGGCCACAACTAAGTTTGAGAACGAGATCAAGTCTATGTATGCCGAGATAGCCGATGGAACTGCCTTTTAATCCGGAGTTGAACCGTGCCAAATGCCAAACAAACCTGCTCTGAATCAATAAAGTAACCAAAAATATTTTTGCAATAATCCAACTCTAAAATCCTCAAATCTCATCCCTTCTGCGCAGTTAAATATTACCACTAAATATTAATTTTTAAACAATAACGATTACGCAATCAATCATAGCCATTGTTGCCCTTATGGTCTATAGTTTCACTAAAATTAAACGAATAGTTTTAGTTTATAAA